GGTAACTCTGGGGCAATTTTAGAGAAACTTCCTCCCTTCAGTTTTGAATATGATTGCTTTCAAATTGCTGTAGACTTGCCAAGCCTCACTCAGTTTGGATCCATTTTTAAGGCAGTTTTGAGAGTGTCTTAATGCTACTGAAGAAGGAGTTTGAAAATGTGTTTCAAAATGAGACATTCACAAATTTATTCCTAATTTGGGAGTTCAAAACCACCTTCCTTGAAACCATCCCAGCAGGTCTGCAGCCCAGAGAAGTAGCAACAACAGATCTATAGACAGACATGGGGTGTTAGGTTTAAATTAGGATTACAGGGGAATGAAGGGTTAGAAAGGAATGAGAAGTGCTAGACACAGAAGTATTAAGAGCAGAGTTAGCTTGAGATATCCAGGTAGACCTGGTGAGGGGGACTCGAGAGTCTGAAGAGACTGGGTTGGTAAATCAATATGGTTTGGAAGGGAAGAAATGGAATTAGATTGATCACGTGGGAAAGATTCGCTGAGACATGGAAAAAAAAAGAACTGAAACATAAGTCATACGGTTTTATTAAAAATGAAGAAAGTTACATGAGGAATGAAGGGATATAGCCTATATGGAATGAAAAGGGGGTTGAATAAGGTGCTAATAATAATCCAGTTACATACAGCACTTTTCATCCAAAAGAATTGTCCAGAATCAGAGATAACATTAAAGGTGACATAGGTTAAATGTCAGCAAACCTCACAGCCTAGTGTAATTTACACACCAAAAAGGCTCTAGCAGGACAGGACTGCGACAGAGCGAGAAACTAGCACTTGAGTGTTAGGTTTAAGACAGGGTGCTGGGGTGGACCTTCTTTATCTTACAACTTCTGGTTTGTTGCTTGTCCTGCTATCCCATCCCTTTCTATCGTGTTGGCCAATAAGCAGTATCAGCTTTCCAATGTGTAACAGTCATCATCACCTACATTACTTCTCAATTTGCCCATATACAAAAGTTCTTTATAGGCAGGACAAAAACTGAACAATTAATCATTTCACAAGTCCAGGGTGACAGCTTCAGCGTTCTTACCAGATTCTAGTTGGGGTAATTATAGTGTGTCTAACACAATCTTCCTCATCTGTTTCAACTGAAAACAGTTTTATTTCTTTAGGGTTTGTCCTGCTGTATTTCAGTACTTTGCCCTTTTAACAAGTTCCATGTCCTGTCCCAAAAGCAGCCACAACCTAGTTGATAGGTAAATTTACACCCTTGTTATAAAGAACCAGTTATTATTCAATGACCAGTTTGCAGTGAAGGCACTAATCAGTTGAAAAAGTCAGCTAAATCAGATATATAGTTTCACCTATCTCACCCTTGATGCCATTGAGACAATGTAGGAAGATTTGCAGTGCAGCTGTTTTCTAAGTTCTAAGCATGGGGAGTATGGCTCATAAAAGGATGTATATCTAGAAAGCTGCTGGGCCGTAGTGATCCCTGGTAGCACACTGCCACGCATGTCATCAAGCTCAGATGTTACTCTAGGTGCCAAAGTGATCCCTGGGTTCACCGGACACAGAAAGATCATAAAGCTATCTTTGTCCCACTATACCAGGTACTATACTGCTAAGGTTTTCATTTGGAGTAGATATGAAGCAATTATTTTTTCTGCTTCCTAGTTGCCACTCTGTGTGTTCTTCCTGGAGTGGAAAAAATGCACAGGCCATACTGTAGCTATATTGCTCCTGGTCCCAGGGATGGTCATGGGCTACTTTTTTGCACAGGAAGCAATATATCTGCATATTACTGGCCCCGGGGCTAATTAACCCTGCCTCTTGGCAGGACTGATATGTATGAGCACAGTGCCAAGTAAACACAGCCATCCTAACTGGAACCAAAAGTGGTTACCGTTCCAGAGATATGTCCACAAACACCAACTGCTTTACCTGTGCAGTGTGGAAAAATGAAGGACTGGGGAATTGTATATGCAGTACCAAAAGGGAATGGGGAATTATATATGCAGCTACCTTAATTGCTGGAGGTAGTCCCTTCAGCTAGTCCACTGATGTTTGTAAAATACTACAGCTAATTCATTAAGCATTTGGAAATTGCTTTTATTTTTGTGTTTGAAACAGCCCCATTTCATTTTTGTCAGAATTTCACAAACTTTTCACGTGTTACCAACACCACTCTTGAAAGTTCCCATTTTTGGCCAGGAAAAAAAAAAAAAAAAATCACAATGGTTTTTGTGGGGTTGGTAAACAGGTCAATGGCAAGATAGCAACAAAAAAAAAAAAAAACCATAAAAAAGGAAACACCTCAAAGAAAGTATGCCTGTATTTCAGGATAATTTCCTTTTATTGGATAAAGGCTATTTCCATGTGTGCACATGCACCCACACACCCACACACAGAGCACCTTTTAACATTTTCTTTTTGGGATACAGCCATTTACACACATGCACGCAGGCACGCACGCACGTGCATGCAGACACACACACACACACACTGACAGTACCTTTTAATACTTTCCTTTTGGGATACAGTCATCTACACACACACCCTCATGGGTAGATCCGGGGGGGGCTGCAGTAGTGCAGTTGCACCCCCCTTTTATTCCTGCTCCACCTGTAGTTTAAAACCAACTGGCTGGCAGTGGCAGCAGCATTTCTAGTCAGGAAGCAGTGAGAGCATCAATTGAATTAATGGCTTATTAAAATCTACCTGATTCTAAACTCTACTTCCCACAGGTGTTAACTGACCCTCTCTCCTTGTTAAAGGTCTTGATGCTCCACCAATCCAGCTGGCCTTTCTTCTCCAATTGTGTGGTCTGTTAACTGCTCTTGATAAGGAAGCTCCTATTCCACAACCCCCAGACTGTTTTTAACTCATTCCAGTAAAGTTATATTTGTTGTTTTGCTTGGATGTTAAACTGTATAATACAGCCCCAGGCCCTTGGGCTTATTAGAAAAGTTTTATAGTTTCTTTTTGCCTTAAGAAAAATGCATGCTGTGTTATATGAGATGATGCCCCACACCAGCTGCATCCCCCTCTTCAAAATCCTAGATCTGCCCATGCATGTGCACTCACACAGACCGGATACTTTCTTTCTGGGATAAGGCCTTTTACCCACACACACACAGACACACACACACACACTTTAATACTTTCTTTTTGGGATACAACCATTTCCACCCACCCACACTATGATGGTATCTTTGGATACTTTTGTTTTGGGATAAGGCCATTTCCACACCCATAAGGCGCACACACACACACACATACACACATACACAATATGATAGTACCTTCTGATATTCTTTTTGGGATAAGGACATTTCCACACATGTGTACAGGCACACACAGATATGTATTGCACTATGCCTGTATCTTTGGAAACCTTCCTTTTGAGATGAAGTCATTTTCACACACACTCATGCATGCACACACATGCATGTGCACATGCACACCCATGCTCACACACACACATACACTCACCTGTGTGCACACACAGACACTCCCACACATGCATGCACTCACACACACACACACACACACACACACCTACCTGTACATACACACACCCTCCCATGGTCACACAGATGCATGCACTCGCACATATACACACTCCCAGTCCCACATGAATGCACAGTCACACTCTCACTCCCATGCTCTCACACACACGCATGCACTCACATGCACGCACACTCACTCACACACACTCTCACTTCCACGCTCACACACAGGCGTGCACACTCACGCGTACCCACAGAAAGTTTCAGACACCTGCTAGCAAAGAAGCCGGCGCCGAGAAGCGCGCTGGGGGCGCCGGGACTGGCGGCAGCTCCCCTGGGGGCGGCGGGGCAGGCACTGGCAGGGA